GGCATTTTCGTCTCATGTTCAGGTGTGGCCAAAAGTTCATTTCAGGATGTTGAATAATCTCATCTCATGGGATTAGAAAAAACGTTTTCGACTCTTTTTATGCTTTGATTCAGATCAAAACAAGGTCCCACCCATTAACATCACACACATTTGCACAGACTTCAACCACTTCTGTGTTTTCTCATCCTCCCAGAGTCTCGGGCCGCTGGAGTCCCCTGTGATCTGTGACGCGCCGCTCTCCAGCAGGTCTTGGTAAGCTTTAAGACAGATCGGTAGCGGTTAGATCTTTTCTTAGGCAATCACTTCAGATGCTCTGCTGATTCTCTCCTAGTACTTTTAAACTGGAAGACAGAGGACAAACATCCGGTCGACTGCCAGAACCCATCTGTGCTGAGGTAATTAGACCAGCTACCTGCTCCAAAACTATCTAGACAGCATATAAAGGCATCAGAGATTAAACGACTTATGCTACATAATCAGCACTGAATCAGTATTGCTATTGTGCAAATAAAATATGAATATTTATCATTAAAAAAACTTAAGTGAAAATGAGAAATTTTGCCTTGGCAACTAAATGAAAAAAAAAGTATAAGTTGAAGTAAAACTAAAACGAACCCTATAAAAACATTTTCAGTAACTGAAGGGAAGCTAAAATAAAATAAAATATAAATATTATATGAAAAACTAAGAAAATTTAAAATGTTGCCTTGTTACATTTTTAGTATTTCAAATAAAACTAAAAATTTCTACTTAAACATGCAAAATGATAATAGTTAAAATAAACGAAAACGGAAATAAAAAAAAATTGTTTTAATAAATTAATAAAAATAAATAATAGAAATATATATAAAAAATAATAAAAAGATAACAAAACACTAAAATGAAATATAAATTATAGAAATAAAAGCTAGTGCAAAATATTAATGAATACTATTAATAAATTACTTCTAATATTATTAATACATTTTTAAACTTGTACTATTATGAATAGATTACTATTAATGATACTATTAATAAATTAACTTATTATTTATTATTAATAATATTTATTACAGTTTCAATCGATGCAGTGATATTTTTAGGGCTCTGGTTTCATAATTCAATCCGGCTATGATTATCATGTCAACGATTCGATTCAATTTCGATATCACGATTATATAAAATTTATTTTGTGCATTTTTATTAAATTATATAAGCAAGCTACTTAAAGGGGGGGGGGACAATTGCAAGTGATAAACAAAAAGCACTTTCAGTATCTGGAAAGTTTACAGATGGTCATAGTTATGGGTTTTTCTTTATTAATCAGCATTATTGCTGTTTGATTATTACTGATGAGTTCATAGACAGTGGCAGCTTTAATAGGCTGCAGTCACACTAATGCACAGATCTATTTCCACATATCAGATGTTCTGTCCTGTTCTGAAAACGTAACTGACTGTGTTTACATCAATTTCGTATCATAAAAGTAGATGC